GCAGCTGTCAGGCAGCGACACACAGGTACAGCAGTGAAAGTGCCACAGCAGCACGTCACAAAACAAATCTTCTCATCTGTTAATGCATTTATAGTGTTTCCTATGTATCTTGCTTTAGACTGTTGCTTTAGATTGTTTCAGTTTATTATGAAAACTGAGATTCACTAAGTTTCATGTATGCCTGTCACAATAATTACATTACTGGCGTAGGGTGAGCAGTTTAAACAATCCGTTACACCCTAACAGACTGTAGTTAAAGACTTTATGACTTGTGCTGTGGGATTAAGTCAGAAATAGGTCATTTTAATAGGTGTTTTATTTCCTGGTTTAATGATTCATTCTGATACCAAATCGTTTCGACAGAAAAGCAAATATCCTATAAAATTTAACAAAGCAATAAAATTCAGTTTAAGTACTTTTTCCGGCTTATCTCCTCCTCCGGCCGACTTTTACCAAATACTTTGTGCACAAATGTAAATGTCTGAAAACCGCTCCTGGTTTCACCACATTCTTTACAGAGAGTTGTCGCTTTACTTTATTCATTGAAATGGATTAGCTTTAGGAAAACCCTCTCTCTCTTTGAGTCTTTGTCAGTTTGTTTGGACCACAAACTGATTAAATGTATTTACTTATTTTTATTACTTCCTGGTATGATCTTTTTCTTCTTGTATCTGGATATCTGGGAAGTTATAATGCTTGTTAAACTCATGTTTTGCAATAAAAAAAAACCCACAACTGTTTGTGTTGATGCGATGGTTTGATCATGTGACATGCGCGGTGGACTCCGGAATGTTTCGCTTTGACGCTTGCGGCAGCAGCGGCGGCAGCGGCAGCGGCGCGGCAGCAGCGGTGGGGGAACCTTCAAAGCGTCTTCAAAGAGCCCCAGACAAAAGATTAAATATATGTTTTTTACCTTTTTTAAATTTATTTGGTTTTATTTATTTATTTTTCATATTTTATTGTTGTCTTATATTTATGTTTTTTTTCGTTTTGTACTTGTACTTATAAATTGTTATCTGGATTTTACTTTTCTTGGAAGATATAATGCTTGTTGTTGTTTGTAAATTCTTGTTTTGCAATAAAGACAAACAAAAAAAAAACAAAAAAAAACACAACTTTTAGTGTTGGTGTGATCATGTGACCTGCGCGGTGGACTCCGGAATGTTTCGCTTTGACGCTTTCGCGCGAACTCCAGCGGCGGCAGCGGCAGCAGCGGCGACGCGGCAGCGGCGGATCCTTCGACGAGCCTCTACGAACTCTCCGGCGACCTTTCCGCGCCGCTTACCGCGTGTGCCGCCGCCGCTGTACTCATAAAACAAGCTGTCAACAGAGCATGCGCGGAGTGAAAGTGATAGGACTCTTTAATTTGTGTCACAGTGTTCGCCGGAGCCCGAGCGCAGTGGCTTCATTGAACGCGGCGGCGAAGCGGCGGCGAAGAACGGCCGCACAGGGTGTACAAATCCGCGCACCCCGCTCTATTTTGTCGCATGTTTGGTGACGTCCAATAATCGCCTGGCTCTGAAGTCTTCGGGGCCGAGGCCTGCAGACTTTTTGTTTTTTTGGGGTAAACGCTCCCGCTCCGGAAAAACCGAGCCTCGATGTCCGGATTTCGGTGCCCGAACTGAGCGGCGGTGAGCCGATGAAGCACTTTAATCTGTGATCGAAGCAGAAAACGGTCGGAAAAGCGTTGGCCAGCTAATTGTAGCTACTGCTAACTGCCAGCGAGGAAGTGAGGGACGAGGAGGAAAAAAAAAATGACATCTCGGAGGTAAGAAAAGAGGAGGTGGAGGAGGAGGAGGGGAGCTGTCTGGAAAACAATGTCTGCTGATTGTGTTAGAGGAGCTCGGTTAACTTCAACCAGCTGGTGTGTCCGTAAACAAGCTGCGAGTGAGCAGAGGTTTCTGGAACAACAACAACAACAACAACTGATGTTCGTTTAGTTAACGCACACCCGGCAACTTAACGCCCACAACCCGGTGTGAAGATGTTTTAGTAAACCCCGTTAACGGCTGCAGGGTGTGCAGAGGGGCTGACAGCAGTGGGTAAACAAAGCACAAACAAAAACAAGCAGGTAAACAAGAGTTTTAGAAGTTAAGAGAACCAGAAAAGTGCCTTGAAATCAGTCAGTCACACTTTGTTTGTTTGGCAGCTTTCGTGCAGTTTAAGTTTAAGTGTGTTTCAGTTTGAATGAGGTTGGTTTAAAGATCAGAATCAGGTTTATTGCTTTATCAATTAAATAGAGCTGCACGAAATGGTACAAAAACATCATGTTGTTGTTATTTGTGACAGATTTTGTGATTAATTTGTGCATCGCTTATTAAATAAACTCAAATCATGATGACGTTTTTATAAAGTCTGGAGACTTGTAGACCAGAGCTCCTCTGCAGCACTACAGTACTTCATCATAATGCTAATTGTGCAGCTCTACAATTAAACTAAAACTGTAGAGGCAATAAAAGGAAGAGTACAAATATAAAAAGAGAGAGATAATATGTACAATGTGGTTGGATACTGAGATAAATGAGTGAAGAGCTGTGCAGGAGTGTGCAAATAATTGACCGGGAGAAAGTGCAAAGATGAAAAAAATAGAATATAATGATAAAAATGACAATAAAATACAATATGATTGATTTTTACAGAACAAACTTTACTTGTACCCTGAGAAACATAATTATAGTAAAAATGAACGAGCATTTATAGACGTCATTTTGCTATATACCAAAACATTTATTGCACTGTTGTGGAAAAAGATTCAGACCAAACTCGGTGGATAAGACAGATGTTATCAAGCCTTTCATTAAAAACAATAAAGTGCATATCAAAGGATAAACAGCAGGTATTTTAGAAGGTTTCCCTTCATTAATTACATTAAAGATTTAGATTTAATAGACAGTAAAGTGCATGATTAATCTGTCGACGGTGCAGTTTCTATACGCCTTCTAAATATTTGTTTTATTTTGATTATATGAACGTAAAAGGCTGTATTTCAAGTTGTTAAACGCACAAAAATAAGAATAATAGTGCCGTTATGGTGCAGTTGTAGTTTTGCACACTGGTTTTCAGCGGTGGAAAGTAAATAAATTACACTTTATAGTAAAACGGGAGCTATTTTGGACGCATTCCACACCGAGGCCAATCATTGTTTGACTCCTCTTTCAGGTGGTTTCACCCCAACATCACTGGTGTGGAGGCTGAAAACCTCCTGCTGACCCGAGGAGTGGATGGGAGCTTTTTAGCCCGGCCCAGTAAGAGTAATCCAGGAGACTTCACCCTCTCAGTACGGTGAGTGATGGCACCCATGAGCCTACAATGCAACACGCACAACAGGATACTGTATGATGCTGGCAACTATTTTAAGCCTCCAAATAAACTCTCTGCTCTCTGCTACTGTATGTGAAATGAAAGAACCACCGTTTGAGTCTTTTGTTGTTTTCTTTTTACATAGTTTTCTCTTATTTTTAAAAGTATTCTTGTTGCCTCCACTTCTGCAGGTGCACATGTGTGAAAGGTTTTGATTAGAGGCTGTTATTCTGTGGTTTTTATTGGTAGAAAGAGTCACATTTGAGTTCATTTAATAGTCTTTCTGAATTGGGCTTTATATGTTTTAGATAGAATAGCAATCAACGAGTAGAAATTCTAACATTTAAAGGGTTTTAGATAGGATTCATGATCCAAATGTACCACAAACAAACACTGCTCAGCTCTAAACTAACACATAGTTTGCAACTAGCTGGTGAAGATAGAGAGCCAGATATTTCACTCAGGAGTTGGTGAAGATGAGAATAAATAAATGTTGGACACAAACACGACTCCGAATGAGTGATAATGTTTGCTCGTACATTTGGGGTGAGAACTTTATGAGCTGATATGAGGTGTTTTCAGCTTGTTCGTCTGTCTCCGAGGGGCCTGAAAAATCAATGAATGCAGCTTTAACTGTGCTGTAATATTCACACTATTAATTAATGCTGCAACAATAACAATAAAACACACTTCTGCTAAAGCACGAGCTGTGTCGAGTGATGGTGGGAAACCAGCTTTATCCAAAGAAAGGAAGACCAACTTTTACTAATAAGAAAAAAGTTTGTGGTTTTATCTCAGAGCCTGTCGAGTCATAAATTTTTAAGATGAAGTATCATTAACTCCGTTTCGCTGATGTTATTTTTGTAACAGTCTCATACTTCAGCTGTACAGTCTCTCATCTCACACCATATTTACTTCCTATGGAAACAAAACAAGTCATGCTCCTCTTGTGGAAACGGAGACATTTCCACAGGGAGACCGGTCCCTGCTGGTTCAAACCGGCACACGTCTGTCTCTCTTTCTGTGCACATTCTGCCAGACTTAACCATAAGTCATTCAAAAGTTTCATGCTACCGAGCTTCAGATCTGCCACAAGTTCTCCTTTTCTGTTTTCCAATATAATGGTGGTCACCTACGATGACTCAACACAGTTCATGCTGTCTATCTGGTTTGTGTCACCAAAAAGAAAATGTGTTTTCCTTTAAGCCAGCGTCTCAGTGTCATCGCTCTGCCTTCTCACAGTTGTTGTTTTTTTTGTGTGTCTCTCACCTCTTGCAAATAACAGATGGTAACCATGTTGTTCGCGGTGCATGTGACTTTGTGTCTACTTATAACTTTGCTTATTTTAATCACAATACATGAACTCTGCATCAGAACAAACACACAATAATGATGCAATTACGGCTGCAACTAAGGATTGTCTTTCAGTTTCAGTTAATCTTCTGATTATTTTCTTGATTAATTGATTAATTGCTGATCTGTAATATGTCATTTAGAGCTGCAACGATTAGACAAGTAATTGGTTAGTCGAGTGGCAGAAACATTAGCTATTTTTCATGTAAAAATGGCAGAAAATGCTGTTTTTCTCTCCTCTGTTTTATCTCATATTAACAATCAACTCCAGACATGTTTAGTTTCCACATTAAAATCCTTTAAAAGACTCTAACTCCAGAATCTATCACATCCATCCATCACATCTCCTCCTTCACTGTAAAGTCCATTCTCAGTGTCTGTGGCTTCAAGTTTCTACATCACACTTGTAGAAGTTGCATACTGGAACATTTTATAGAAGAAACAATTAATCACTGAATCTAGAAAATATAAATAACGGTTGCAGTAATTTCATTTAACTTGTTTTGTTCAACTCAACAGTCCAGAACCCAAAGATATTCAGTTTCCTCACATTTGAGAAGTTGAAGATATGTAAATGTTTTGGGCATTTTTGCTTGAAAAATGACAATTTAATTATTAAATTAGTTGCAGATAATCTCGATCAACTAATCTATTCACCAACTAATTGTTTAATCTCTAGATGGAACTATAAAGCATCAGATTGGACCAGCTCACACAGATATTTTAGTCATTTTCTGTCAAAATATGGACACATTATGAGTCTGCAGCACCGATGTGTCTTTGAGAGTTTCATCCATTTAACTAAATACACATGAAACACCAACGGCTAATCCGGTGCTACGCTGACTGCTTATGTGAGATTAGTTGAGAAGATACTATTAATTTAAAGGCACATAATCTTCCTTTTGGTTCGTTTCCCTGCTGCTGATGTTCTTTCTCCCTGATGGCAACATTTCTCTAAATGTTTGTGCTTTTCTTTTTTCCCCCTGCAGGCGAAATGGAGCCGTCACCCATATTAAGATCCAGAACACAGGAGACTACTATGACCTTTATGGAGGGGAGAAGTTTGCCACTCTGGCAGAGCTGGTGCAGTATTACATGGAGCATCATGGGCAGCTGAAAGAGAAAAACGGAGATGTTATTGAGCTCAAGTATCCACTCAACTGTGCGGACCCCACCTCAGAGAGGTTAGTGGTGATGTTGTGTTTTGGTGCTTGAATTTCCATATTTTCTGAGTGCTTTAATATAACGTGGATTGCAGATTTTTGAAGGAGAGAAGTTGCTATCAGACAAATTGAGTAACCAGTGTTTAGGATCCTTCTGTTGAAGGCAAAAAAAAGTTTCCCAACCTAAAATGCTACATATCATCAACCAGACTTATTGTGAAAATGTACTTTTTCTTCCTGAAAAAGAGGAACTGAATGTGTAGTGGTTATCGACCCAAACCATGTTCCCATAACATTTATCCACATTTAATTTTCTCCGGATAGAACATGTACAAATTTGACTGCCAGCTGCTCCGAAAAATAATATGCATGAGTAAAGAAACCTCCACTAAAGTCAGAAGAAGTTATTCCATTTTTGTGATATATATAAAATTAGGTTTATTCATCTTCAGGGAAACTTGGAATAAAACACAAGCTATAAAATCATCAGTTTTTAAATGAAAAATTCATGATGAAAGAAGAAAACTGATCAAACAGAAGAAATACAGGAAATAAAAGACAATTCAAAGAAACGTTACATTCAAGTAAAACCAGGAATCAGCAAAAACCACATATTAAATGAGTGAGGAAATTGATGTATTGACGTGTGATGCGTCAGGAAGTATTACAGTAGTTCACTTCGGGGAAATTAATCAGATCAGCATATCTGGAATTTAAAAAAAGAGAAAAGTAGAGACAAGCAGAGAAAGAGAAACACTGTGTCCTCTACAGTATCTCAAACACATTGATTGTGTATTGATAAAGTTTTCTGCTATTCGTGCTGTAAAAAGTGATTATCAATCATCAGAGTGGTTGCCGATCAAGTTTCTGTTCATTGACTAATCGATTGTTAGACTGATTGTTTCAGCTCATCCTCCATAAAGGACTGTTGTTGCTTTGTTGTTAGCTGTCATGCTACAATAAAAGGATTTTGTGCTTTTAGCTGGAGTTTTGTGCTGCAGCTGCTACCCGAGGATTAGACGTATCTGGGGTTTTAGTATTAAAGCGTGAAAACAAAACAACTTTTAATATTACCTCGGCAGGCTCTCACCATCAGACAGCGACGAGGATGATGCAACTCACAGTAAAACTTTCTTGCAGCTACATTTTGGTGTTAAAACCAGCTGCAGACAGAGGACCGATGAGTTCTTCTCTGAGGAATTCACATGCAGAATTAAAGTCAGATTTTATAGTTATACTCCAAAGCGAAATCAAAGCATTTTACAATAATCTCAAACAATAAACAAGCAGTTGCTTTGGGGTTAATATAATGTCATTAACCATGCTTGTAAACAATGAACATCCTCCCCGACTACATGTAAACAGAGAGCGATGCCATTAAAGTTCATCCCACTCTCCACTGGAAGCCAGTGTTTCATTATGTGAAGTACTCTTAAGTGAGTCCGGTCCTAACAAACAGCATTTCACCATCTCTTTGCCAGATGGTTCCACGGGCACTTGTCGGGCAGGGAGGCGGAGAAGCTGCTGACGGAGAAAGGCAAGAACGGCAGCTTCCTGGTGAGGGAGAGCCAGAGCCACCCGGGGGATTTCGTTCTGTCCGTCCGTACAGGAGATGACAAGACGGACAGCAGTGACAGCAAACCCAAAGTCACTCACGTCATGATCCGCTGCCAGGTGAACACGGCCCTCATTACACACATCCTCTCATCAGAATATATATAGAAGTAGAGTGTTACTGGTAAACGTGGTGTGTGTGTGTGTGTGTGTGTGTGTGTGTCTGTGTAGGTTTAAAAAATATGCTGTTTCTTTAGTTCATTACTGGACTGATTTCTTTATGTATTTAATTTAGGTCTTTTTATGTAACAGCAAGAAAACATATAACGACACAAACAGAGGGGCAACAGACAATATATAGATGTAAAGGGTCTAACCCTTCAGGAATCTTAATGAGGCACTGGTTCCTATATAATCGGTACTGAACCAAATCACAATACAGATGTAGGTGCCTTGTTTCAGTACCAGAGCTATCTATTAAGATATTTGCTCTCTGATGCGGTTGTTGCAGCAACAGAGGCATCATGGCTGAACACTCTCTACATGGCTCTGGCAGCAGGTAGCCTACTGTTAGCACATCACAAGCATATCATTGTTGTTGACAACAGCCCATGTTTGTCTGTTCCTCTGCGATATGAAGCTTAGGAATGTCAGGCCTCAACTGCAGCAGGTTGAGCGTTATTCAGTCTGGCTGTTGTACATTCCCCATTTTCTATGTTCAGTAGATCATTTATCCAGACTGATTGCACACAGATATCAGGTGTAATCCGGGGAATTTTAAGATTGTTTTTCTTGGCGAGTGTGCACATGATAAAGAGGACAAGAGGAGACACACAGTGTAGTGATTCCACTTAAAGTTTAACTAAACCTGAGCTGGTGCTTCTCATAACCTGAACCTCTAAGAACCTGTAAGGCTTTGGTTCAAGGTTCTTCTTTGTGCTTCCGCTGCGTTTTACAAACTGAAAAGGTGTATTTTTCACACACTATTTGGTAGACGAGTGCAGTTGTGGGACAGACAAGTGCAGCTATTATTGATTTTCTTTCATGTTTACATGATGAATGTCAGTATGATTAAAGTAATGGCAGGGAGGAGGAGGTGGACAGACTGGCACCAGACCAGCTGTGTCTCTGAAGACAGGTGGCTGCCCCGAAGGAGGTGTTAGCAGCTGGCGGTCCCGCTCGCTCTCTCTCCGTTCTGAACCGTCAAACCAGCCCTCTGCTTGATTCTCTTCTGAACCACAAGACGAGGAAAGAAACCGGAAAAATCTGTTTTTTAACGTTTGTTTTTTAGGGAAAAAACGAAATAAAACTCCTGGGAATAAAGAATTAAAAATAGTAGCGTACTTCCCAACTCTGTGCAAACAATCTACAGTTTACAGGGACAGATTTCTATTTAAGAGGATTAAGTATCACCTCCTGAGCCTAAAGGCCTGAATTTAGTTCCAGGAAGTCGTCCCCAACGCGGAGTACAGTGGAAACAAAAGCAGAACCTGTGGTAGTGGCTTCACTGTAAGTCACAGGTCATTACGTTCCCATAACAGAAGAGACCTGCAAGCACATTTAAAAATGTATAAAATTCACATTGTTATAAGTAGATGTATTGTAAGTATTCGTGGATTTGCTGTTACCAGGCTGCTACAGTGGCTGTAATGTAAACACGTCGTCTGGTTTCCTGTGAACCCGGTTTCTCCGTCACCTGGTTTCTTGTGTAAGAGTTGTGATTGTCTCTCGACATTGAGTCTGGTCTGTCGTACTAAATGTAGCTCTGGCTTCTTCTTTAGCATGACCTGAAGTACGACGTGGGTGGAGGGGAGAAGTTTGACTCCCTCACTGACTTGGTAGAGCACTACAAAAAGAACCCCATGGTGGAGACTCTGGGCACCGTGCTCCAGCTCAAACAGGTACCCTCCTATGTCTGCCCACAAATATTCACTTTTACCGTCAGGCAGCGTTTCCTAATTGTAATTTCTGTGCTTTTCTCCTCCCCAGCCCCTGAACACTACTCGTATTAACGCTGCAGAGATTGAAAGTCGCGTTCGGGAGCTGAGCAAACTAGCGGAAGCCACAGACAAGGTCAAACAGGGCTTCTGGGAAGAATTTGAGGTGAGTGGTTCTGTTGTTGTTGTCCCAGTGTGTGTTTTTTTTTGTGTGTGTGAATTCTTTACCATGCATTGTTGGTTGGAAATAGCATGTTTAGATTTGACTCTCTCTTTTTGTTTTCGTTTTCCTCCATCCAGACTTTGCAGCAACAAGAGTGCAAGCTGCTCTACAGCCGCAAAGAAGGCCAGAGAGCAGAGAACAAAAACAAGAACAGATACAAGAACATTCTGCCTTGTAAGAAACCCTGACTGCTCTTTTAACACATTAAAGGTCCAGTGTGTAACATTGAGGAGGCTCTATTGGCAGTAATAGAGTAAAATATTCACTGGTATGTTTTCATTGGTGTATAATCACTACAGCTACACCGCTAGATGCCACTAAATCCTACACACTCGTCCTTTAAGTAATATTTAGTACAGTATTAGTATACAGAAGTATGGCAGGATTAAGTGTCTTGTGTCAAATCTTATTTCCTACATGCAGCAGAAATAGCCAATAAATAACACGGAGACTTTAAACTACACAAACATGTAAAGAAATAGTTTTGGAAATAAGCTGGATCACTTTCTGGTGGAGATTTAGATGAGAAGATCGATCCACTCCCATATCTGTATTTTTAAATGCAAGCCTAAAACTAGCAGCCAGTTACCTTAGCTTAGCACAAAGACGTCTTTTTGTACGGATTAAACAAAGTAGAGCTGTTGATAATTAAGCTTTAGAGATGCTGCTGGGCTGATTTAGTTATTGTTGGACCGGTTCTCTCTGTTTTCAGTCTTTGTGCTAATCTAGGCTAACCGGCTCCTGGCTAGAACATTATATGTAATGGTAATGGTGAGAATGGTATCAAAGTTTTACTATAAACACATCTCTTTAAAAAAGCAAGTAAAATTATTTCTCCAAATAGCCAAACTTTTGCTGGGTTTAAATCTAAGTTATCAAGCTTCACATGAGGGGATTTTAAATAGACGACTAACTGTTTTTGTTTCCGTTTCCAGTCGACCACACTCGTGTGGTGCTGAATGACAGGGACCCTAATGAGCCAGGCTCTGACTACATCAACGCCAATATCATCATGGTAGTATCTGCTGTCATGGTAAACTCACTTCATCCTCAGGGACACACAAACACACACACACACACACACACACACTCACACATAATTTATTCTGTACTTGATCATATGTATAAGATGTTGTACTGGTCATTCTGTGCTCTTGTTTTGACTCATGGTGCTGTAGTTCTGCTCATTTTGAGTATTCACCCCGACCTGTGATGTGTGTCTGTGTGTGTGCAGCCGGAGCTGGACTCTAAGTGTAACAGTACCAAGGTGAAGAAGAGCTACATCGCCACTCAGGGCTGTCTGCAGAACACCATCAGTGACTTCTGGAGGATGGTGTTTCAGGAGAACTCTCGAGTCATTGTTATGACCACCAAAGAGGTGGAGAGAGGAAAGGTGAGCAAAAGTCCAGTCCACTCTGAAACCATTCAGACTGTTTTTAAAACATTTTTGTGGTTTTGTGGTAGAACTTTTCTTATTCCTGAAGTTAAATAGCAAAGCGCAGACTGTGGGACATTGTTGCACCAATATATTTTCAATGCAGGTACAATTAATTAATAAAATCAGGGTTTGATTTGACTCATAAGTGAGATGATATGATTGTGTTCTTTGGTCTGTATAATGTAAGAAAAAAATACCCATCACAGTCTTTCAGAGCCAAGGCGTGTCTTCAAATTTCTTGTTTAAAAGCTAAAGATAATGAGTTTATAATCATAGAAGACAAAGAAAACCAGGAAATAATCACATTACAGAAGCTGGAAAGAAGAAGAACTTTAGGCATTTTTGCTTTCAAATCAAAAGTATTTCTCTTTAACATTATATATTAATATACATTATACATTAATATTGATGATTATGACTTACTAGCTAACAGTTACAGTTATTATATTGAATTTAACACTCAAACACTCATCAGGACTGTGAAGGTGTGGTTTGACCATATTTGATTGACCTTTGGACACCTGGCTGAGAGAGAACAAGGACAGAAACATTAAGACAGAAATATAAAGTGAAATAACTAAAACTGTCCTAACTCGGACAAACTAAACTAGATTGATTTTCTTCATCTGATACTTTATAGCGTTGACTTATATAGTGAGTGTTATTGTGTCTCTGCAGAGTAAGTGTGTGAAGTACTGGCCGGACATGTCGGCTCTGAAGGAGTACGGAGCGATGCGCGTTCGCAATGTCAGAGAGACGGCTGCACACGACTACATCTTAAGAGAACTCAAACTGTCCAAAGTGGGGCAGGTAAGTTGTGTTTGTGGAGGCTCGTAATGTAACTGTAATATAAATGTTTTAATCAATTTCTTGTTGTTTTAAGAGTTATCTTAGACCATTGGAGGAAATATAATTTTAAATAAGTGGTGTAATTCACATCTGCTTGTCAGTTTGTAGCATGAAACAAAAAGTAAATTCCAGTTCTATAGACAAGAGATGCAGTTTTCATTAGATGGCACTCGTGGGCGTTTGAAGTGTACATTTGAATTAACATTTGAATTAACATAAGATGCATATGGTCCATGATTGCTGCTGCACATGCTCTTCAAAATAGATCTGTTTTTAAATGTTGAATTTTCAAGTGAAGGTTGTCCTGAGTTGTCAATTGACTTTAAACTTTACTGTTTTATACCAACAAAAAAATATACTTTTCATCTGTTAAGGTGACAGACAAAATGCTTGAAAGAATTGAAAAATCATGTATTTTTAAAATGTTTATCAGCATTTCACTGTATTGATTTGAGAAAAATGCAACTTCACAGAATTACATAACAATAAATGTCAATTTAAAATCCGTTCAAAGCATTAAAGGATTAGTCTGCTAATATTCTCTATTTTTCTTGTTGTTACACAGTGTTATACACCGTCCTATTTCCTCAAACACTTACTAGAGCTCCAAATGTGTATTTCTACACAAAATAATCACACACAAATGCAAGTGTTTATTCCTGTTTGAGTGAGCTAAAAACTACAAAACTTATTTAGCCCTTTAAAAAATGAAAATAATATTAAAGACCTGTTTTTGTCGTCAGTAGAAACCAGTGGGTTGTATAGAATGAATAGAAGTTGGAAAGCACTGAGAGACGGATTAACACTGTGTTGCTTTTGGTCCTTTCATTGGATTTATTGACAGTAACAAAAGCCTTATCTCTCAGTAGTCATGTAATTAAACTGAAGCTCTCTGGTTATTCACTGTATGTTCAAAGTTGTTCTTCACTTGCGTGTTTTCAGGGCAACACAGAACGCACAGTTTGGCAGTACCACTTCCGGGCCTGGCCGGACCACGGAGTCCCCACTGACCCAGGAGGTGTACTCGACTTCTTAGAGGAGGTCAACCTGAAACAGGAGAGCATACTGGATGCTGGACCTATAGCGGTACACTGCAGGTACGCACAAGTCAAATTCTTCAGTGAACGAGCCATAAACCCGACAGTAACACCATAAGTGAGCATTAACACGTAACTCAAACACTCTCTCTTATGTTCTTCAGTGCTGGGATCGGACGGACAGGAACGTTTATAGTGATTGACATCCTGATAGATGTGATCAGAGAAAAAGGTGAGTCTGCATGGTGCACACACAGGTCCCATTTAAATCCACATGAGATTTAACACACTTGTTTACATGTAGCCACAATCAGTTGTACAGTCTGCAGGATTCAATGTTTATGGGTTTTTGATTTTGTTTTTGCAAAAGTGGGTCAGACTTGACATTTTGACTTGGCCCTGTACAAATAGTTAGATTTATTTGTGGTTATCAAATAACAACAGAGGTTAAAGTTTTTCAGAAAAGTAACGTACCTTTTGAAAAGCCCCGTTTTATCCTCCTTGTTCTCAAATGTTGCTCATAAACGTTGTCTTTATTACCTCGGGAAAAGACTGGTGACTTGTGCACTTTAGCAGTTTAGTTACAACAATAATAGTTGAGCAGCTACACAAACACGTGGATGAATCGTATCTAGGCTCCCACCGGCTGTCACAGTATCTGTTTTAATAATGAATCGCCCTACCAGATAGCTATCCGATCTGTCCAAGACACATGAAGTGATTTAGTGTAAATTGGATCACACACACGTATCTGAATATCTAGTATCCACCGAGTTTACTTCAAAGGTTATGTTACCAATGCTAAGGATGCTTCAGTGTAAAATATTGTTTTCCTTCTTGCAGGGGTGGACTGCGACATCGACGTGCCAAAGACCATCCAGATGGTTCGTTCTCAGCGCTCTGGGATGGTGCAGACTGAGGCGCAGTACAGATTCATCTATATGGCTGTACAGCACTACATAGAAACCTTGCAGAGACGCATAGAGGAGGAGCAGGTGTGCGCAGCAGACAACGCCTCACGTTCTCATTTCTGCTTTTTTTCCCTCCTCCTCCCATCTTTAACCTTCCTCTGTTTTCTCCTCTGCAGAAAAGTAAGATTAAAGGGCGCGAGTACACCAACATTAAGTACTCTTTGTCTGACCTGACTGGGGGAGAGCAGAGCCCTTTCCCTCCTTGCACTCCTATTCCTACTCCCACCTGCACAGAGTAAGTAGTACCTTTGGGCTGCTGCTGGAGGCTGTTTTACATTTTAAATCACCTTGTTGAGACAGTCCAGGCAGTAGTTTCTCATGAAAGTGTGTGTGTGTGTGTGTGTGTGTGTGTGTTGGCAGGATGAGGGACGACAGCTCCAGAGTGTATGAGAATGTGGGCCTGATGCAACAGCAGAAGAGCTACAGATGAGATTCACCTTTGACCCCAGTGCTCTATCAGTTCCAGGTAAATGAAATAAACAGCTGCACATATAGAAAACAATACTATCAGGGTTCCAGTTAAAATCTGAGCTTTGTGGGGCAAAGTTAGAGGCGGAGTGTAGTAAAAACTTGGCCAGACAGCGGTGATGTCTTTAGAGGACTTTATTCATGTTCTGCCGTATTCTGAACATCAATCTTTCTTCATAAAACACTGTAAGAGCTACAGATTAATTACATAAATTAACTCTTACAATCTTACAAATGTAACTACAAGACACATAAAAGACACACGTGGGCCCCTTAAACAGTTGAGCCTTAACTAAAACACGTATAACCTGAATCATATGCATAAAAAACTAGAAAGTTAGCCGTGACTCTTCTCAGTGAATGAATGTTAGCATGAACGATACCGTTAAATTAAATCACATTTCACTAAACACAGTCATAGAAATCCTACACACTGGTCCTTTTTAAGACAACATGTAAACAAGGAGGAAGTGTTGAGTTGAATAAAGATTATCATCAACAGAAAATTAAAACAGCAGATAACAAAAGTCTCTAATATAAACCTGTATTAAGTAAAGGCCTGGGTCTCTCTGCAGTTACGTATTTAACCACAAGTATTGTCCTTTTTATGTCTCCTTCAGGATCTCGATACCTGACAGTTTTTTCGCCAGCCACACCTTGACGCCTGAGACTTGACCGTAATGACATGGAACAATGGAAAACAAACACACACACAAAAACGTGAGAGAGACCAGACACCAGGGTCCTCCTGATCTCGCTCATCTTACACGAACATTCGCCCTCTAGTTGAATTCTAAACCACTGTGATCATCAGAAGAGCCTTTTGAGAAGCCTAACATGCTACTAAACCCTATTAAACCACAGTTTGGGTTTAGCCTTTGTAAATCTCACCCCAACAAGGGCTGCGAACAGCGAGAACTCTCCTCAGAGGGAAAAACCTAGCTAACCTTTGCTCATCTCTTTTTTTTTTTTTTCTATGTTTTTTTTGTTTTTTCTTTTGTTTCTTATTAACCAAAGGAAGATTATGTAGATTGTTTGTAGGGGGAAGTGAGGAATTTTCTGAAAAGGCGTGTGCCAAAACCACGAATGATTTTATCCACATTTCTCAGCCAATTAAAAGTCTCTATTTTGGCCTGTTGAGGCCTTTAAAGCAGTGGGAGACGAGACCTTATTTGTGGACAAAAGTGGGGCAAAATTTCCAGTGACCATTGTCTAGTTTTCACTGTGTTATATAGAGTAATGTTTTTGAATGAAGAACTATTGGCATTGTAGTGTACTACCATATTTACTGTTGATTTGTAATCCACTAAACATGAATTCCTCTTTTTTTTTTTTTTGTTTTGCACCAGAACCGCCTCGAAAAGAAACTTAACCTTCAGGCTGTTCGGAGTGTGAATCTTTGTTGGGTTTAATATGCTTTTGTTGGGATACACGGTGTCTGTTAGTTAACCATTCCTGAGCTCAAGCCGAATGCCCTTATTGCTGCACTTTTATTTAGCAGCATAACAGTTACAGTGAAGCCTTGATTCACCTGGTGGATTTATAAATAATCTAATCTGGGGGGTTTAGAGAGGAGTTTCTGGGGAGGGGAGGGCGGGAGGGGAGGGAGGGTGAGGCTGATGATGTAAAAAGCTTTAAATCATTCAGCAGTCCGCTGCACGACATGTGACCGCCGACACTGTGTATTATTCATCCGGTTTGTTTCCTGATCGCCCTGACCGGCGAGGAGACACCGAGCTGACCGGTGTTGTTCCTGCCCACTTCCGTGATTTTCATCCAGCCATGACACAATATACCAATATACCCTTAATGTCCCTGTACTTTATGTACTCTATATAGTGGTGCATCACGATTTATACTTGTACATACTTTTGCATACTTCTATTGTGCAGTTATTGTTGTTATATTTCTGGTAATCCACAAAAAGTGTCTTGTCAAAAACTACCATGAATACTACCAATGAATGTATAATCATAAATGCCTATATTTTACAGAGGGAGTTTTCCCTATGTAATTCAATCAGATAATCAAATCAAACTTGAACTGATTGCGCCAAATAATTGTCAGGTAGGCTATTTTTTTTTTTTACCTTGGACAAATAACCATCCTCACACTTGTTTTCAACTTCACTTCAGGGACTGGGGAATTTTTTTAATTAAAGTAGAAGTCAACAAACTCCTCATCCACAATAGTGGTTAAAATAAATGATGGACCACAGTTTGCACTTTCACCGTTTCACTTGAAGCATTATTCTCCTACCTATAACATTTTATTTCCTGCCAATTGCTTTACACTCATGAGATCAATAGGTTGTTGCAGTAAATCATCCTGACAAATGATGTACAAAGTGGATGGTAAAGGTCACACAGACATGTCTGTCAAATATAATGCTGTAACATTTAGACAGCTATTGGACATTTTCTAGGCATGTGACATTTTCCACAAATGCAATGACTTGAGGGGGTCTTGCAGCACAACATTGGTGTTTAATGTCATTATAGGACATGCATCCCTATCACCCATCATTAATTTCCAAAGTCAGAGGCATGTTAAGGCCTGTTGCTAAATAATTAAGTCTTTACTGGTCTCTGATCAAATATTCAGCAGAGGGCCATGTTATTTGCCATAGATAGTCTATTTATGTCAGCTGTATTGTGTGACAGACAGACAGAGGATGTGTGTGTGTGTGTGTGTGTGTGTGTGCATTTGCAACATTAATCAGTGATTAAGTAGTGATTCAACCGAGAACTGCAATTGGGCTTCAAATATTTTCATCTCTGTGATGTGGTTTTTGAGTCACTGCTTCATCCATCACGCCAAAAACCTACTTCACTCTGATAGACTTTCAGTGCCTTTACACCAGCAAGGTAGGTTATAAAAGGACACATTTTAGTTAAGCACACCCATCCTGGTAGACAATTCATCAAATGCTTTCATTATGTTCACTGCAGCAGTGCTTACGGCGGCCATCTTTGTTGGTATTGAGAGATGAAGAGATAAGGAATGGATTGAACAATGAGTTTATCTGCTAAAGTGAGCATCTCCAGCTGACAGTTAAGTCTGCAAAATCAGCAGTTGCTGGCTAAATATGAGAAGAAGAGGCTTTTTCTACCTCTGTCTATAGTCAAGGACCCATTGTTTTAAACCTTATTTAGAAATATGAGTGGTAAATCTGCCACTGTTATCACTGTAAACAAAATTTGTTGCAGCAAGGAGACAGGGCAGACAACAATCAAGTGTACACTGTAAATACAAAGTAAAGTTTATCTACTGCTTGCTGTGTTTCCAGTCTGCGGTACTCTGACATGTTTGATACCATCATGGCTGCAGCTCTGTTGTTGTTTTTTCCAGCTCACACTCACTGCTTTTTTCTTCCACTGCTAAATGTCAGCTACCCTGCAGTCCAGCTGCTGAGTTTCTGTGAGTGTGTGTGTGTGT